ATATTATTATTATAATATATATATATATATATATATATATATATATATATCACGTGAAAAATCAAGTAATTTATAATTAATCGACAATAAGTATCATCCACTCGAATTCATAAAATCATTGTAAAACATAATACTCAAGATCTAAATCTATATCACAAAGTGCTTGAAAACATAAGAGCGATATACACTGATAAAAATTTTATTTGGACTTAAAGCAATTATAATTATTCTGAGATCATGAATTAAAAATGATTTTCAAGCAACTACTCTTAAGTATAGACTTAATAATTAAACACACGTCTCACACGTGATTCTTTAGACGTATTAAACATTGACTTCAATTTACCAAGGGGAAGCTCTACATCTTGAAGACCCTGTGCAATGACGAAATCACTAACGCATTCCGCTAGATAATCAAACAGACGAATCCCCGAACCAACTCTCAAATCAGAGCTAATGTGATATTTCTTCACTTCTTCTCGTTTAGGTATACCATGATCCAATTCTAAAAGAAGAACTCGGAAATTCGTTCCTCCAAGATCCAATGCCAAATATAAGCCCTTTTCTGCAAATATTTTAAAATATCTTTAGCATTATTTAACAAATATATAAAACTAAAAGTTGCAATTGTAAAGAACATATTATTAAATATATTATATTTAATATTTTGATAAATATTTAACATTTAACATTCTACAATTGTAAAAATTTCTATCGGAATATTATATAAAAGTTTTTATTAAAGAATATTTTTATCAACCTGTGCCATCGAGAAGTTCTGGAACATAAGTATTTTCCATCTGCAATGACGATGGTTGCTGATGAATTCCTTTATTCATTTCCGATTCAAACACATCTTGGATATTCTTCACAATTGTAGTCGAAAATTGTAGCCGTGCCAGTTTTTGCTCAATCTACAAATTAAATTAAATAACAATAAATCTTTTTTATCTTATATGTAATCATAATCGAAAGCATTTGATCAAGACAACAATCACAAAATTTTCCACGAGTCATAAATTTTAATCTTTTGACAAACGATACAAACGATAGGAATTTTCGTAATTACTCTTTATTACGTGATCTCTAATGGAATTCTAATGGATGAAACAGAAGAAAAGATTACGTACGTATGTAGTCAGATAGCGAATCGCGATAAAAAATAATTATATTTGCAACAATGTAGTCTTTGAAGGAAGTTCTAATCAAACAACTTTTTAGAAGTACTATGTGCGCACGAATATATATAAAATATTTTATATATATTCAAGTTTATTATGTAAGAAAGATGATGTTATCGAGACTAATGAACGTTGCTATTTGTATCTAAATGCATACATTACATAGATCATTTCTATCAATTTCAATATCATCTCGATTATTTCCTGCTTCGAGTTTCGATGTACACAACTATAATATCGAAAACAGAGTTCTTATGATAGATAATATTAATATTTCACTTCCTCGAAGGTAAACTGGTTGCATTCAAGCAAACATCACCGCCAAGGTAAAAATTCTGAAAGTTGATATTAAATCGACGAATGAAAGACAAGAAAATATCTTGATCGAATAATTTTTTTACACGAACTAAACTCATCAGTAGATATCAATAGATGAAGAAAATATATTCATAAATTATTTTCTATATACATATATTTGTATGTATACTCGAGATAAGATATGAAACGAAATGACAATTTAAATGGAATGAAATTTATTACTTATATTCTTTCATGAATTGAATTGTCAACCAATGATAGTGATGAATAAAATTATTGCCATGTCCTGTTCCCGTGATAGTTATCTATTCTATATTAATTCGAAAAAGTCGAGGAAGAAGCTAAAGTGTGCGATCGTGTTAAAATAAGAATAAGTAAACAGAAATTGGCCATGACATTACAATCTACTTTAATCAAATGCAGAAAGAGTGTGTGGGTGACTCGTACTTATAATTGTGTGTGTTCTGTATACATTTATTATATGAGCCCACATAAACTTTACAATGTCGATTGTTATAAAATCTTTTTTGATCAAAGGGATAAGTAAACTTCAATTTTTAAACGAGGAACTGATAACAAGAGCGGATCAATATATCTATTAATTATTATTCGCTTCGTTGTTATCCGTTCTGTTGTTATATGAAACGGCATATCTTTGACGATAACTTATTTGAAAATCTTGAACTCTTAGTAAAAATTTCCTATGATAACCTTATATATGTCAAAGAGCATGATAAGCAAATGACTTATTTGCAACTAAATACGATATTGTTAATAACTCGTTGAATTTTCATTTTATTACTAAATTCAGTATCAGATTCTCTTATTTACAAAAAAAATATATATTACTTGATTCTATTATTTGATTTTTTATTTTTTCTTAAATCGAATTTTGCAAAAGAAAAAATTTTAAATTCTTATTAAAATATAGCAATATAGCAATATTGCTATGAATTAAATTCTATATGCACGATAAACGGTTACGTAAATTTTATATTTGTAAGTAAAATAAAGATATAAGAGAAGAAATTATTTTTGGTAAGAATTGTTACAAAGATCAATGCGAGCAAAAGTGAAAGTATATGTGTTCACAATCAATCAGTGTCAGTAAACTCTTAACAAGAATGTCGTAAGGTTAAGGACTCAGTGTTCACTATTTTTTGCATCGAGAATGATTCAATCTAGTCGACATTAATCGGTCAGATATCGATCAATTATATTATACTTATACAAGAAGTATTAGTACTGAGCAGAAAAAAATATATAACAGATATAAGTATTATTTAACTATTCGTTTTGTAAATTTTTGAAATAGTAGCAATAAGCAATCAAATAAGCAATAATAAATGATAAATGTTTGAATCGATTTCCATAACTTCGTATTACTTTGTTGAACATCATTCTTACCACGCATACGAACTCACGATTACGATGGAACTCCGCATATCCTTTTATTTGTATATATAAGTATTTACAAGCGATGGAAGTTCACTAAGAATGGAAATTCGTTTTAAATAATCATGCAAGATATTGTTCATACGTCAGAATAATTATTATAAACATAATAATTTTACTTGCCTTATGTCGCTTTACGTTGTCCGAAAGCACCAAAGGTGCTACTTGAATCGCCTCGTGAAGGGCATTCTCTGTAGGGACGACCATGTCTTACTTATCTAGAAAAATGAATTAAAAAATTAATATTTTAATGTATATATATATATATATATTAAACGTATGATAATTATAAAATTCGAATAATAAAAAGGAATACATATAAATGTCTTAAAAATTAATAATAGTATTTTTGTTAAGAAAAAAATTATGAGCAGTCCATACTCACCTGATTACCGCTTACGTTATCCTCAGATAGAAGATTTTTGAATGAGAGAAGCCACGCTACGAGACGAATGTGAATGAATTTACAAGACGGATGATAAGGTGTACGCGACGAGACAAATAGTCGCGTGGTTCTCCACAAGCACGAGAGACGTTCTGAGCACGAGTTAATGAGATCGCACCGTTTATTATTACTCGCTTATTTATTTTCCCTCCTTCCCTCGACATTCGGCAAAATGATAACGCCACAGTCACTATTAAACTAAAAGTTGAAAGTCCACGATATTTTATAACGTTTGATAACGAGCCGAATAATCGAGTCGTATGAATTATATCATCTCGTCTTCAAGAAGCAGCAGTCCGACGTTTTCTCTCTTCGGATCGATGCACTGCATTATAGTGATTCGAATAATGATCACTTTTACATCGTTTTCTTGAGTTTCTTAAATTAATAACTGGCGCAGCGATAACAGATAACCTATAACACGAATGTAATGCATTTAACGAGCTGAATCTGATATAGATATTTTGTAGATGCAAAAATGAAATTTGTCTGATCTAACTATATTGAGAAAAAAAATTAAAGAGTAATCGTATATCGTGAATCTGAATGATATTGACCTTGATGGAGAAGAAAGCACTATTCGCATTTTAATGTTAAATGTTAGAAGAAGATTACGATTGCTTGACCAATATCGTTATGAGACAGCCAGTTGTTCCAGGGGTCATCAACTATCATAATATTATCACTAAAGATAAAGAAGAAATATAGATGATCGTAACTTGTATATTCTTTCGAATAATTTTGTGATATATATATTTAATCAAAATATTTTGCTCGTATCAAGTTTTTTACATATCAAATGAAAAATTCAAAAGATAATCTCAAAAGATGAACCATGTGAACTTCGAAGAATGTTGTAATAATTACAGACAAGTTATACTGATCGCAGAATTTGAAGATATTTCACGAGAAATCTTATATGTTCACCACTATGTTCATTCACTAAACATATCTTATTGAAATTGTGATATTCAGATTCTTTTGATTCGACAAAAGAGAATATATATTGATCGTGAATGTAATTTTTTTGTGAACTTCTTGTATGTTGTATACTTTTGAAACTGAATGTTGTCTATACACGATGAACACGTGTATGTGAAATTAACGTGCATACATCGCGTATGCGCATTCGTATTGCAAGTACAGTCTTGTGCATAAATTGATCATTTGAATCGAGTGATTCATTGAACTTTTCGAATGAAAAAAGTAATTCGCTATTATGATATCACTATTATTGATTTATTTAAATTCTGAAACATAAACGAGATAATTTATTATAATATTAATATAATTATCAGTGTAAAAAAAGTTTGACATAATAACAAAAAAAAATGAGATCGAACAAATTTTGATAATATCAATATTAAGAACGTAAAAGTTGAAAAACCCGTTTAACAAACGAGATTCGCCGAACGATATACTCCTGTTCTTCACATATCATTGACATATATTATTTTTATTATTTTTCTTCATTCCGTAATTATTTATCTGTAATTTATAATAATAATGAAGTGTAAGAGAAAATATAGTATAATAGAAAAAAAGTAAATAGTAATTTTAAATTGAATAGTAAAAGAGTAGATTGATTAATCTATAGGAATCAAAATGAACAAAAAATATTTATAAATAATTACAAATTAAATCCATACCTACAATATAAATTCAATTATTACGCACGTTTTCAAGAATTAGATATTTGATGAATTGATTAATTTAATCGATAATCGTTCAGGTTCGACAATTTGCGATAGATTTTTCACGATCGATTATCAAGAGGAAAAGACACTATAAAATGTCACTAGAATAATATTCTTCGAGTCAGCAAAGTCGCTTCGAACGAAGCTCCATTAAAATCAATTGGAAGGTGCAAAGCGTCAACCAGGATAATTTAGCCACTTGACCTGATGTGATGAATCTAATCCACAGTGCAATACGCACACTCGTCATAGAGACCATCTTGACCATCACATTTCTAACGACACCTTCTTCGAATGATGGTCCTATAAGATGAATTATTACAATTATTTTTATTCTTTACCTATCACGATTAATAATCTAACATTTATTCTTTTTATTATTTATCATTCCACTATCCATTTATTAACGAATATGATGTAAATAAAGTGTCATAAAAGTCATATAAACTGCGTGCACAACGATTGTCAAGCGCAGAGTACGGTCAATTTCGTACAAAATTAAAACTGTGAGCAATTTCGAACGCAGTGTCTGTACACGATAACAGATTACTCTTTCGTTAAGAGCATGAACGGTTATGTATGATCTTTACCGCATGAATTATAGAGCTTCCGTAAATTACAAGACCATTATCACCAAGGTCTCGAAATAAATCTTAATCGAATAAAATTCTCTTGAGACTCATTTTGTATTTTGGAATATTGAATTTATATCATTGAATATTATAATATTGAATTTTATTATTGAAATTATTTCTAAAAATTCTAAGTATTAAAATATTAAGATTTGATTAATCTAAATCGCGAAATTGTCATTTACTAAAGAAAAATCTTTTTATCTACTTTAATGATATCATATCGATATAAATCATAACTAATCAACAGATAATATAATTAATGTATTAAAATTATATAAAAAAAATTACACAATTAATTTGTATGAATATCGTAAATTCATAGGATCCTTATTTTTAGAAACTTTTAGATCCTTATTTCATAATTATTGATGAGATTAATAGATCCGAACAAGTTTCTAGATACATTCAAATAGCTATCAATCTTTTGCATTGATTCTTCGAGTTTGATAAAAGACAATAGAGAAATATATATTCTATACATAAAATGGTATGTCACAAGATAAAAAAAACAATTAATTTTTAATTCCAAAGGCATTAAAAATCATTTAATTGATTATTGTCATAAGTTTATTTTACAAAATTAATTTATACGATAATAATCGGACCAAGTGATAAGATATTTATCGAGAATAATCAATGTTTGACAAGTACAATATAAAAAGACATACTTCCTTATTGTCTTGTATTGTAGAATAAAATTGAATCATAAATGACAAGATTTAATAAAAAATGAAGAAAATGCAGCATGAATATGTACGAGATACGGCAATGATAATTTCTGAATTTTGAAAAGGTCGATAAATGCGACATTAAAACTGTGCAAATCCAGAAATACGTTAAATCGCGATGACAACACGTGCAGTATAACATTTCAAGGACCCACGTGGTCTCACCAACAAAATAAACATTGAATATGTTTTTACATTTAATTTCGCATATCGCTAATGACATCACATTTGAAATCAATTAAAAAAATATTAAATCTGCCAATCGATTCAAAAGCAATACATGATATTATGGTAGTATCAATTGCGTCTGAATAAAATCAAACATACTTCTATTGTCAAGGATCAACGAGCCTGATGGCGCCAACTAGTGCGTATGGCCTGTTCTAGAAAAACGAAAAACACAAGCTCACCCTAACACTTTCTACGTATGATTGCCAATTTCCGTGATCGCTTCAGCTCCTGATCTTCTATTCTTTGCAGGGTCCAGTTACTGGTCAGTGATTGTAAAGTTTCTCAAATTGTATCAGAACACGCACACGTATAAACACGTGGATTGAATATCGTAAAATGTACTCCGTTTCAGAGCAGCAACTGGTCGAGCCTCCAGATTCTCGCTTCCCCACTGCTCGAACTTCAAAACCGTATCGGTGCTTATTACATGCGCGCGCCTTTGCTCATACAAGCGTTTCAAGTTTCATATATGCGTACAACTACATATGGATTACGTTTGCGTATTTTTGTAGCATATAAGTATCTGTGTTATATCGCATGGATGTACACATACATGTATAAAACATCGCGTGCATTAATATCATATGATATTATAGTCATGATTCAAAACCGCGTAATACACATAAAGCAAAGATTTCTTCAGTATATAATCGTATAATTTACAATTTGTATGATTTTTTTTTCTGTTTTTCCATTACATCCATTATATTTTCAATTTGTATTCTTGTAATACGATAAATATATAATCCTTTGAAAAATTTTTTAAGAAAAGGATAAAAGGAATTGACTAAAAAAATATATGTAAATAACTTCTACGCAATAAGAATTTATTTAATATAAATTAAACGAACATATAGAAATTTAAAAAAAAACAGATTCCGAATACTTCTACAGATTCACATTATGTCAGTTGAATGGAGTTTGAATATAGCTGCAATAAAATAACATCCGTCTCCTAAACTACATAGGCTGAATGGAGTTTGATTAAATTGGTCAGCGTGTTTAAATTTAGATCGTTACAATTGCCGACCCTCATGGTTTCATAATGAATAGCACCATTCTATAGACAACCAACTTGCACTTCGAAATGATAATTATTAAAAGCACAATACTTCAATGATATATCGAAGTATGTTTTTCTACTTTAGTAGAAAATGTGAACAAATAATTAATTTAATTTCTGATATTGTTATAGTAAATTGTCATGTAAAATTTAAATCATTGATATTAAAATATAATTAATTAAGTTATATAAATTTGTATCTTCATTTACTTATATTATTTAATTTTAAAATAAAAATATTGCAAAATTCTACTTTGTATTTAATTTTCGAATAATTTTCATTATAGTTTAACTAGTATTATGTTTACAAAAACAGTAAAATAAAAAGTTATAAATATAACAAATTTACATTATTCTGGTAATAGATCATCGCCAAGTTCTTCATCACCAAAATCATCATCTCTCTTTCCGGCAGACGTCATAGGACGAATAGGCAATGGACCAATAGGATCAACATAAGAGGGAATGCCTACAGAAAGTATTTTATATGCGCTCATAATTTAACTCCATTTTATAATCCATTTTATATTAATTTTTCATTGTAAAATATTTAAAAATTTGATAAAAAAAACTTTATATTGCTATACTAATCTGGGAATCATTATTCTATATATATATATATATATATACAGAAAACGAGAATAGACTGTTCAAAATAAGTACACTCATCTATCATCTATTCAATCCATTAGTTCAACTATTATCTGCAGATCATTCTTGTTAATGCTCATTTCAAATAAAGCTACGTATTTCTGATAACTATAGTAAATGTTCGATTTTGTACATATCTATTTTCTTACAAATTATAATAAACATGTACGTACCTGCTTGATCAGTTATATTAATTGTAGATTCCGTAATATTTTCAATTGCAGAAATTCGATTAGAACGAACGATATCAGCACTACTTAAACTTTGATTTTCTTTTCTAGTAAAAATGGGACTTGATCTATGATCTGAAATTACACTCATTCCAGAACCAGTTCGTGATGATGTTCCACTATTACTCCTTCTTGATCCTAAATATAAATATTAAACATTGTAATAATATTATATTTCATATAATTAAAAATATATATTATGTGCACCTGGTCTTGCTGATACTTGTCTGTCCTTTAATTCTTTCGCCTTTTCTGCGCGCTTTAATTCTGTTGCGTATAATTGTGCTTCTTTTAAGCCGAGATCACTACATAAACGAACTAAGAATTTTAAGCATTCAATATTTTCAGGAAACTTATTATGAATATCTTGATATTCTAAAACAGCTTTATGAAATTGACCAATTCGTCTTAAACATGCAGCAACAAGTAATCGCCATCTCGGTTCATCGGGAGCAAGTTCGACTGCTTTCTTGAAATAAACTAG